TCCAAAACATGTTGTATGAGCTATTTTGTTCCAACAAGGTTGGGAAAGACATTTTATTTCATTCTCAAGAATTGGTAGAAAGGAGCAAAAACAATTGCACTAAAAAAACAAAAACAGTTATATAAAAATATTTCTAAATAATTTTCGCATTAAATTGTTGTCAATCAGTCAACATTACATAAAATACCGTGTTTTTTTACAGAATGTTTTCAATTAGAGAAAAACATTTTTAGAGAAAACATTGTCGAATTCAGTTCTCCATATCGATACCAATCCTTTACCATTTAATGAAATAAACTTACTTGCTGACTTTCTTTATCATGCAGAACTATAGATGTAACATAATATCGCATGCTATAACATGAGCCTTGAGCTACATTTTTATTAATTTGTAAAACTTCCTGCAATAGCTAGGAAATTACTATCATAGCTTAGAAGATTCTCTAACATGTTAAAACAATTTTAAGGTAACTGGTTTCTGAGGCGATTTAATTGTAAAAACAACAAGGAGTTTGTATTACACTTAGACTTCCTTCCAGCTGTGGTCAGTATCTAGAGAAGCTTAACAACCTTACCTTACATTTCAAAATGTCGGCCAGTAAATGTTGATTTTAATATTTTCAGTTTTCATTGAATCAAACCATACTGTGGACATACAGCTTTGACAGATTCAGATCTAGAGAAAACCCATTCCAAAAATTGTTTCTATTTTAGAATATTTTGAGGATACAACTTTGGTGGATAATATATTCGAGATTATAATGAATTCAAATTAATTCTACTCATTGCTTGCCATTTTTATACCTGAATATATCACAAAATTGATAAAAGGTGAATCTGAAATCTGAATTTATATTTTGAAAAACATTATTCGAATTATCAAACATTATCATTATCAATTATACATGTACTGAATATACTTTTTAATCTTTCAGTAATATCATAAATACAATTTTCCAGCTCCGAAAATATATATGAAGTATTTGAGAATAACAGTAAAACATTTTTGCCAAGAAAAATGTTCAGTGTTTTTAGGTGTTCACAGGCCTGTCAACTTGGGAACACCTAACATGAGTGACTTGGAAATGTTGAACACCTCCCCTCAAAATGTGGACACCTTGATCCAAATTTTGAACACCTTGGTTTAGATTTTATTACATCTTGCCAAATTTTGAACACCTGAAATTTTCGCGCTCGCTACGCTCGCATTTCAATCATCCATCAACGGGGGGGGGGAGGTATGAAAAATTTCGAACGGAATGCGTGACATATACGTAATTCGCGTGAAAAGTCCGAATGAAATGCGTACGTTTTTTTTCGGCGTTCGTATTTTTGCTGTGTAGACGAACTTTTTTAGAAATTTTTCTACAGAAATAATTTTGCTTGACAATTACCAGGTAAAATGCGTATTTGCGTGACATTTTCTGTCACGCAAAAATAACTGGCGTGACTTCAAATTCTTCAGCAAATGCGTGACAAATACGCAAATTGCGGGACAGTTGACAGGCCTGTGTTCATTACAGAGACGATAATGTATACAATAGTCATTAGAGAATGTGCGGAGGAAAGGTGTTCACTAGCGAGAGGTGTTCACTAAGACAGGTTTTACTGTACATTTTCCTCGTACAGTAAATGCAAATTACTTTTCCATATGCTAACATGTTAAAATCAAAAACCAGATGCAAACCTAGATCTCAAATATTCTACTCTTACAAATATATAGCTTTGAATATGGATATATTTGAAGTATACGTTAGGAAGTTTGAAGTGTATGAAATATACAAATTATATTTTCTGATAGAATAAAAATACTATGTTACCATAGTGCAATGAGTACTACATATTGTAGTACTATTATATTGTTTGATAAATGATTGTATGTCTGGATGTACCTTTGAAATTGTTAGAAATCAATGTTGATTCCTTGACATTTATGGCTTGAGATTTTGAAAAAGAGTGATGAAAATAAAATATTATTTAACCTATTGTCATTCAGATGTTTATTCATCGTGATAACCATGTCCCCTTTGTCTTGAACTTTCCAAACTTCGCACACAACAGATTAGAGGGGGTCTTGTGAAATCAAAACCAACATTCTAGGCAGAAATTTGACATTTAAACCTCAGAAACCATTTTGTAAGGGTTTGTCTCACCTTGGCAGAGATCAGCTGTTCACCTTTACTCTTGCAAAATATTTCATAGTGACCATATTTTTTTTGTAATCTATTAGTTTCCAAGAATATGAGTACCGTAATCACCGTATTAAGTGCCCGCCCCTAATGAGTACCCAGCCCGCTTCACAGAACTCAAGAAATATGAAGAATGACTAATGGAAGTATTAACAAATATCTCAAAAAATCAAATTTCCAAAGAAATATAGTGGGCGATAGTAGAGTACTTACACTAAAATGCAGAAAACCTGATGCATTTTGTAATTCGATGCATCCTCCCGATAAATATCTATCAGTGGGTGCTTCGCACATCATACTAAACTAATATTATCTCAAAGTAGTCCATAATGAATGAAGGAAATGTTCATGTTTCAGAGTTTTGTTTTGACATTTTTTCTAAGCAGCGATCGTCAAGGTTGTGATGTTTCTCATTTCTTTTTAAGATTTCTCGACTTTTACATCAAAAATGACGATCTGTCATCAAATTAATCAGGGGGGGGGTTCACTTTTGACAATCTTGTTCCAAAAAAAAACAGAATCACTTATATAAGAACAAGTACATGAAAAATATGATGTCATGTAAAAAAGATAACATAAAATATGATGAGTAACTAAATTGTAGATGAGTTACAAGTACATTCCCCTCCTCCTGTGACCTTTGGTTTTACTATATTTTATTTACTTTGTTGTGTAGAGAATAGATGTTTTTCTTAATCAATAATTTGTACTTTTCTGTATAACCTTACATAAAAATATGCATGGTTGACATGTAAGTTTATCAACCAAGACTAATGCCTTATTAAATCACCAATGATATTTCTTCGATTTCTTTTCATTAACTTTTCTATAAATTGAAAGCACCAAGTTCAAATATTTATGGAAATTAAAATAAAATTACAAAATAAAGTTTGTAAGAGAGGAATTGGCAAGAAATAAAGCAAAACTAGGTGAACATTCTAAAATGTAAAATGTCAAAAGTCAGTATGGTTTATAACGAAAATAATTATGTAGAAGAATGCCATTTCTCATCTGTTCAAAGCCACAGTCTTGTACATGCCCCCAAAAACATGACTCGTTATGTAATTGACCCTTGTGAAAGTATGTAGTGTTGGACCCCTGGGTCGGTCCAATTCATTGTTAAAAGTTTATCTAATTTAGTAAAGAATGACAAACAAGTCAATTCCTTAATACTCATACTTTATTTAATAATTTTGAAGTTTAGTCCAAACAGTTACAAAAATGCATCTTCACAATCTAAAGCCAAGCCGAAAAAGTGCTACAAATTCTTTACAACTGCCTTTTATAGTAAGACAGAAGGAAGAAAACTATAAAATACAATGCAATTAATCATTTATAAACATCTCACAATAAAGAAATAGGAATATTCTCAAAGAATATTCTCTAAGGAATAAAGAATATTCACAAGGAATATTCCCCAAGAATAAAGCAATAAATTTAGAATGACTGACTCAGGGTCAGAAAGAGTCCAAGGAATAAGACATTTAAAAGATAAACACATATAAACAAATCTTACTAATGGATTTCTTCTCAAAGGTCAGCTACATGTCATAGAAGGAATAAGCAATTAAAAATATTCTCAACTGTCAACAACATGACATAGTGTTAAGAAGTCAAGGAATAATGTATCTCTGGCAAGGTCAGCAAGAATCCAAAAATGAAGAAACTAATAAATCAATCAGTCCTAATATGAACTAAAAACCCTAAAATAAAATGTCCAACAGTAGGGTCACATCAATTTGAAACATTTTTGAGGCTTTGCTCTCAACTCAAGTTTTAAGGTTACCCTGAGTCAAAGAGACTATCAGTAAATTTCTAGCATCTGAGGAGGATATATAATTGTGTTGATGCCTGACTTTGAGATGATGATGTAATTTATCAAGGAAGATGACATAACAGCCTTGAAAGCCAATCAAATTAGTGTTTTTGACTCAATCCAAGTATTCTGATTGCAAAGGCTGAATCAAAGATATCTAGTTTTGAAAGAGTTTAGATGAAGATCTTTCTATTAGAGATGAGATGTCAAATCTGAAAAGGGTGCCAAAAGTACTCTCAGTACAAAGGAAATATGCCTTTGAAATATGTTGCTATTTTTCAGAGTATTGTCAGCTGTTCACTTGTCAATTTTGTCCAACATTTCAGGGTTGCACTAAATAACCACTAGACTAGCATTTTCTCTCTTATCCATGTCTTTTTGTAAAATTTCTCTCTAAATTTTGAATGAAATGTTTAATATCTTACAATCTTTGTACAATTTAGACTCTTGGCTTCATTACTATATATTACAGTTCTTCCTTTTCTGTCGACTTTCTCATTATTTTGGATTTTATAACCATGTCCATGACCAAGTTTTTTATGCCTACGTGATGTGGCTATTTGGTCTACGTGTGAAGGTCGTTTTGAAGGGCATTTGTATAAGAGGAATGTATTGATTTGTTCTCCGTGTCTAGGAGCCTTGAGAGGGGTAATATGAGGATACATTAGAAGTACTTTTAAAATTATACATTACTTCCACTTTGATTCTTGCATATTTGATACATTTAAGCATGGCTTGATTTAAGCACCATCTGAGCTGTTTCATGTAAAGCACTCATGCTATAGTAAATACATAGATTAAACATTGGAAAAATGTAGCAAAAGGAAACTCTGATTGATAACCCCCATATTCTAGTTTCACTCTTATTAGAAAATGTCACGGTTGCCATGTTTTCAAGCAAATGTAAAGTCAATGTGAAATTAGCAAGGATTAAAGTAAAGATGTATGTAGCCAATACTCTAAATTGCTTAGAAAAACTCAAAAAAACTCAAGAGGTTTATTCCATTTTTAGAGGTGGAAAGTAAGGTGAAATCAGTGAACTTTTTTGCAAGGGTATCCAGCTTCCAAAACGGATATATTTATAAGGTAATTGTTTGTTTGGAGTGGATCTCAGAATCAGCTTTGAGAGCTGTATTCTAGTCTCTGTTAATTCTCGCTTGAGGGAACTGACTTGCAAGGAAAAACATATCTTGGATCTTCGCCACAGAGTGAAGTATTTGGGTGCGGAATTGATTGGAATAGAAACTCAGAAGCATAATTAATTGGACATAACTATCATGAAGCAAGGGAACTAGACAGATTTGGAATGCAATATTACTAATGAAGTCTAAATGTTTATATCTGCGAAATCATGAAACTGTCGACTAAGATCTACGTATAGTAAGTTTATAAGTTGTTTACATGACCGGTGGATTAATTCATCTAACCAATGACGTAAGAATATAATTAATCTACGCTATCTTACATTCAGACATTGCAACGTAGCTACGTGCAACAGGAAATGAATCTTATGTGATACGCTTTGACAATCGCCAATTATAACAGACATCCTGATAATACTTATGAATTTATGTGTATCTTGGTAGGTGAAGTCCAAAGAGGTATTTATTTAGCTCAACATTATTTGTAAGGATAAGATCAAGGGACAGAATAGCATGATTTAACCAGTGTTTCAACTGTCAGATGTCAGTTCTCACTTTTTATGTCACCACTAAGTGCTGACATTTTGTTAGTCTCCAACTTTTTTGGACAATTTTCACCATTTAGTGGTTGGTGTTTGGCAGTTTGGTGTTTGGTGGTTAGCAATTAGCATCTGTAACAAATGACAGGTGGTGACATTTTGCATGTTAATGCCTTCTTTAATATTGTTATTCAGTCATATATTCCGTATGGAAGTGTAGGCGTAATTTTCTTTTATAAATTGATAGCTAGACATATAAATAAGTTATATACAACAATACATTAACCTCTTGAATCCCAGGCTCTAAAATTGGCATGAAACCAGAGAATTTTTCATTTTTTTGCCACCTTTTGACATTTTATTACATACCTATACAACTTTAGATGCTCAGCTTAGTAAAATTGGACGGCAGAGATCATTTCTACACGTTTTAAAACAATTTTTGTGTAAATTGGATGAAAATTGTTCAAATGAGAGCAATTTTTGTGAAAAATTTTGTGACGGATTTTCTCGTCCCTCTGGGCACCAGTCTTATTTCATTTGTGACGGATATATCCGTCACTCTGGGTATTCAAGAGGTTAACAGCTATGATATAAATTTTACTCTAGACATATAAAAGCACCATAAACAACATTACTCCTATTTATAAGCACTTATGTTTTCCTGTTGCCATGGTAATCAATTGACAATAGCAGCTAACAATATATTATTAAATGTCATGTTTTTCTCTCATTTTCACTATGAAATTTCAACAAAATGTCTGAATTTTCATAATTCTGTACGATTTGAGAATATTGCTTTGGAAACTTCTATTTATTTATTTATTCCTTGCTGATTTCTCAAGTATTTTCATGGAATATTCTGTCTGTCAGAATAGCACACTAATATTTTATGCATCAATTGACTAGATAAATCGTTAAGGTTTCGCACTGAATAACAATAATACTAGTAACAATAGTTTTACCCTTACAAAATATTACAGTTATATTATTCCACACCTATCAATGCACTTTTCCAAATTGAAGCTTTAGTATGATTTTTCTATGCTCTTATTGGTGGTCTAAAATATGCTGGCCCACACATCATGGGCTGTTCTATTATCTTTAATATTTTAGTCAAACAGTTTAAGCACGCTGTCATTTTTTGTGAGAGAAATATTTTGTATGCATGTTGCATCCAGGCTTCACTCCCAGCTTTCAAACTGATTATCTATATACCATTTTAAAGCTTAAGTAATTATTCCTGTCACATAAAAGTTTAATGAAGATTATATTGATGAGCCATTCAGTATAAATGTCTCCTAAACTTCCATAGAGCTGTCATTAATGATTTAATCTTATATTTATAAATAAGTTGATCTGTTAATTGTAAGGAGAAGTATTTGAATAACCCAAAGACCATTCAGATACTCATAACATTTCATCATAGCTAGGACTGAGAAGAAATGTGATGTCCTGGTTTATCATGATGCCCAGACACCAGTAAATCCCTAAAACAGTACAGATCAAACCAAAAATCTAAATATTGAGTTTTAAGTACGATGGAATAACATTCTGACCTCTGTGATTTTGGCACTTTTAAAGGTTACATATTCTAGTACGAGACACGCTTACAAAAAACAATCTTGGCATTTGCAGCAATTCCATCGTTTTCTCTCTAGAATTTAAATAAATATAAGATTTTCTGATATTTCTATAAATTGAAAATTTTGGCTACATATCTGGGTTGGTTAATTCTTGCTTATTTCACTGTATTACACTCTATTTTGTATTTCAAAACCTCACAATCAATATTTACTCTCTGGAGATAGATAACTGTGTCTCAAGGTGTTTCATTGAAGGGCATTGCCCTAGAGTAAAGCTCAATGGAGGTAATGATTTAAAATGCAAAATAGAGTGAAAAAGAGTGAAATCTGCAAGAAATGAAACATACAGGCATGCTGTCCATACTCTAAATTGTCTAGAAATGTCATGTTCTTCGGAGGTTTTCTAAATTTTAGAGAGAAATCGTAAGAATTAGGCATGAATTCCAAGATTTATTTTCTCAAAGGCGCCAACTGCATAACTCTTGGAGATTCGATTTTCATGTATGATACAAAAGGGAGAAGGTCAAAATATATTGCAAATAAATCTAAATTTAGAATCTGAAAAATTGTAAACTACAGAAGATGTCAACATTTTGAAAAACAAAACAAAAATCATCCTTGTCTTAGTAGAAATTATTGAAATAGTGGTAGGATGTGTGTGTTAGAGCTCAAGATTTCCAAGTATCAGTATGAATGATGTATCAAAGATAGCTTGAAAAGTTAAGTTAACATACCCGTTCAAAAAGTCAAAAGGTTTCATTCTATAATATCACAACAACATTTTCGTTTGAAATATGATAAGGGAGAGTATTATAGTTTTTTCATAATCTATTTTAGTCATATTTGAATATATTTATAATTATATAGAAATGGAGAAATACACTGTTAAGTAAACTATAGGGTGGTGATACATGTATATTTGAATCTAAAATTGTTTGTAAGGGTTATTACCATTCGTTTAATATGAGATGTAATCAAACAGTGATATATGTTTTTTCCTTGATTAGTATCATCTCAAAGTCTCACTGTAGTTTGGATATCTTTTGTCAGATAGCTCGATCTTATAAGGAAATGTTTAATAAGTAAGTTTCTCAAATATCAGTTTGTATAGCCCAAAGAGGAATGACTATTATTTAAGGTGCACTATGATACCCGGAGTCCTCCAGCTAGCTAAATTAACTAATTTTGTTGCATATGAGATCCCTATCTGAAATATGGCCTCTTATGGTAGTTTAAATGTGATGTATGAGTATCCTTTAATTTACTGTAAAACCTGTTTTAGTGGTTTGGTAACCACTTCAAGACACATTTTACATTGACTCCTGTATTAAATCCCCCTCTGTAGTGAACACCTACCTACAGTGAACATTTTGTTGTGGCTCAATTAGTGTTCACAGTATACAGGTTTTTCCTTACTTATTTAGCACAAATGTATCATCTCTGCCTTTTCAGACAAGACTGTTGAAATGAATATCTCTATGTTTAAGAGCGAAGATCATGATACCTCAAGAAAATTGTCGGAGCGGCCGTGTCATTGACCTTTTACTCGATCTAAAAGTTCAGTGTTCTCTTTGACTTTTCTTTTTCACATTTCTATATAATGGAGAGTTGTTTACTTGTTTACTTTATTCTTAGCTGATTCCACTCTTTTTCGTCAAAACATGATTAATGGCACTTGATGGAGGGGGGGGGGGGTCTGCGAATCAAATTTAGAACTTTACAAGATTATGCTTTATCTTACTTTTTGGTAGGTATGTCTGAGCCAATTATGAGTAGATTTTCGTAAGATGACAGCTTGAGCTTGAACGAAGAAGTTAGTCTGATCGTTTAAAACATTCATTTTTCCTGAGGTTTAGTATGATACCACTTCTCATCTAGAAGGTGTACCGAATAGTGTACCTAAATGAAATATGAATAACTCGTTTTGCCTCAGAATTTCTTCTCTGGACAACTGGTTCCCTGGAAAGGTACAAGTAGTTTGAGCAAGGATATTTCACTTCATGTTATCTTCCTCTTCTTCTGTTTTATAAGTATTCAAATTCAAATTTCAAAGTCTTCATCAGGTATACCACTGTTGGAAGCTAACAAGGGGAGCCCACATGAAAATTTTTTATGGTCCATGAATAAAAAAAAAAAGATTTAGTTTTGATAATTTAAGGCCCATTTTTGATTATTTGGCCTAAAAAGGTTGAAAGGGCCAAGTAATGCAGAAAAAGGCCCACTAATTGAGGCCATACAAAAAATGGGGGAGGGCCCCCCCCCTGGATCCACCAGTGTATCCTGCAAGCATCAGCCTTCCAGCAACTGGACAAGACTCTCAGTAAACTTTAGAGAAAGTTTTGTTCATCATTGCATGTTGAAGAGAAAATAGGTCTCCATCGAGAATAGGTATACCAGTACCCTGCGTGCAGAGTCTAGTTAAACTACACTCTGCCTAGTAGAGACCATATTACAGTTTAGTTAGCCCTGCCCCCACAACTGGTGACAGTTTAGGTATTAAATCACTTTTGACCTACGCGCTGACCTTTCTTCTACCAATCAGCGAGCTTGAAGAAACATACGCCAAATGCATTCTAACTAGATATGCGCATGTCATTGGTCAATTCCGGGCTCAATGATGACGTCAGAAGGAATGACCATATATAGAACGTCGGTCTTTGGCTGACGAACACTGATTGGCGCGGTGAGTTCACAGGTTTATTTTAGTTTGAAAGAGCGAAGACGAAGCTCTCTTTTAAGAAGTGAAGTCAAACGAATGCAAAGGGTAGTATACCAGGGGCTTACATCAAAAAAATTTTGGGGGTCTTAAAACCAAAAATTGGGCCTAAATGTTTAAGTAAAGTCAATGTTCAAAATTTAAGGCCTATTTTCTTGATAATTTGACCTGAAATTTAAAAAAGGCCCAAGAAGGCCTAGTGATGCCCCCCAGGTTTGCCACTATATTCTGCCAGTGTCTGTGTTGAAACTCTTCCAGAAACTGGAACAACAGGGTTTCCTAAACATAAAAAACTTTTTTATGACAGGGACCTTAGAAACAGTTTTCATTCATCACACCCATCATTGAGAAAATAGGTTGTCTACGTGCAACTAGTTGTGCTCATATAATAAATCAC